TGTGTGTGTGTGTTTGCGTCTATCAGGGTATTTCAACTCGGCACCCAAGCAAGCTTCGACGCTAAAATTTTGCGAACGGCTTCCCCGGCCAACTGCCACCCCAGGACCGCGGTACCAACCCCCATGCACGTCTGAGCCTCACGTACGGACGCGTGAAAGTTTTGGCGAGAAAATTGCTAACTCGGGAATCAGGAAAGCTAGAAAGCTAGAATTTTGAGGTCATGTTCCTCTTCCATAGCGAACTCGAAGATTTCAAATCCAGCCCCGAGGTGTGCGCGGTTCCCACATACGGCCCTGTGAGGGTTCCTGACGAGAAAATCGCGAACTTGGGATCCAGGGCAGCTGGGAAGTTGAAATTTTAACGGAATGTTCCCAGCCCGCGTACAACTTAAAGTTATGAAATTCAGCTCCCGGGCATGCGCAGTTGCCACGTACGGCTCCGTGAAAATTTCTGGCGGGAATATGGATAAGTTGGGGGGGCTGAAATTTTTAGGGAATGTTCCTTGTCCAAGCACAGCGCAGGAAATTAATTTCCCGAAATTCGAGGACCAGTATGTCACATATTTCTAGTTACTGGGTTTCCGAGCGATCTTATTACAGCACGAAACATTGCAAAAACGCATGATCGCACGGGCTTGCCCGGTGCGCGTCGCCAATGATTAATTCAATGTGAGTATCAAAATCGCAAACACCGCCGCTCTAGAGTTCTAAGCGCTACTCGAATGCATCCAACACACAAATACAGCTGAGTCATGCTCTCCTCTTCTGACTGCAAGTTCACAGTTTCCGCCATTAGGAGCCCGTTGTTGTAAGTAAAGCCGGAATGTGTCAGGCCCTGGAAATCTTGTTTTTTTTTCTGGTCGTAATGTGCGTCAAACAATAAAGATGCAAAAGAGTACCGGAAAATGACCGAAAAATAACATGAAATTCGAAGAACTTTTCGGTGGAAACTAAGGATTTATCATTAGCAAGTGTCGATAATTTTGGCAATGGTCACGCCACCTTTAAACTACTGGTGAGTATGTAAAAACTTCACCAACCAGCTCTTATAAACACAATGGACATAGATAGCACTGGATACCTCTAGGAGTACAACGGCAGAAAGCACGCGCGGATCTGGCCCGCGGCTATGCCACCATTTCGGAATTGATTGCTTGTCGGGTGAACTTACCGCTTTTGTATACTTTTTGAGGCGTACGATGAATTCTTCTTCCGGCACGAAGTCCAGTTGCAGCACTGAACAGGAATGTATGCGACTTAATGGACCGAAACATTCCTATTCAGGTTTTTTAATCCGATTTATCTTATTCACCCTCTTTTTATTCCTTTCTTTTTAACCCTTACTTTTTACATAAATACACATCATCTAAAATTAAAATTACAATTATCAATAGCAACGCGCACTAGCGTAACTGGTGTGATCATGCATCTTGTGCAGTTCTGTCTAGCGCGTCTTCGCCAGCAAAATTTTCGCTGCTTTGCTGCATTTTATATGCAAAATCTCTGCAATATTCTGCTCACCAAAACTTACGTTTTTTCAGTGCATGAGTTTTGTGCGTGCTTAGAAGCTGAATTTAAAATTTCTGGAGTTGCACATGGACAAGAAACATCCCTTTGAAATTCCGGCTTTCTATCTTGTCTTGTTTACACGCACACCCACGACAGAAAAAGACTAATTTCTTCTGAGCATCGTGTTCAATGCTATTAATTTTCCCCTCAACATCAAATTTGATGCTGAGCACAAAAAACCCGCACAGTCCTTGCCTATAAACCCCGCTACCTCTTCTTGTCCCTGCCTTTAAAACCCCGCCACTCCTTCTAGTCCCTGTCTCCGAAGGAGTCCCAGCTCCTTTGCAGTCAATAACCCCTCCCCCCTCTCATATACCTCATGCCCCTTCCCATTCATCGCAAGGCTCCCCCCCTCTACTCCGGCGTGGTAGCCAAGCAGTTCAAACGATGTGAAGAATACATGACTTCGCGAGCCCGAGCCGTGCTTTATCAAGTGTTGTGCCGGGGTGGTGCACGCTGTGAGGGGACGGTGTACGAGGAAGATCCTGTTTTTAGTGCGGTACAGGGCTGTGGTGGTTGGCGGTGTGTTCACTGTGCGTCGCTGGGTTGCGAGTTCTCGGTTTGTTGTGGCGTTCGGGCACTGCTTCCGGCTGGGCTGCCTTCATTTTGGCAATGTACCCGCGTCGCTCTGTTCGGGTTTCTCAGCACTGTGGCGGAATTTTTGCCTGTTCGGCCAACATCTCATCTTTCGCTTTTTGCTTTCTTTCTGTTGGCGCGCTCAGTTTAAGTCGCTTCAGCAGCAACAACAGCTATTATGGTTGGCAGTAATGTTGACAGCAGAGCACTGCACACAGAATCACACAGGGCAGTAGAAACAGCGCATAAACTGATGTGATTTTGCTTTTATGCGTTTCTTTTTTGTTGTTTCGTAACTGCTCAAATACTAGGGCGCATGTTGATGTTGACCCGTATGGCGATTGTATGTATGTATGTATGTATGTATGTATGTATGTATGTATGTATGTATGTATGTATGTACGGTATGTATGTATGTATGTATGTATGTATGTATGTATGTATGTATGTATGTATGTATGTATGTATTTATGTATGTATGTGTGTATGTATGTATGTATGTGTATATGTATGTATGTATGTATGTATGTATGTATGTATTTATGTATGTATTTATGTATGTATTTATGTATGTATGTATGTGTGTATGTGTGTGTATGTATGTTATACTGTCTGTCACGCATTTTGAAAAAAAAGAAGTAATAAAAATGGATGTTTTGGGAGCGTACTGCTACTGTTCCGTGTAGTAGTGGTTCTGTCCCGTTGTGTGGTCGAGCTGTGATCTTAGGCAATTAGAGATTTGTCTTGCATCGAGCTGCTCACGCCGTTCCGTTTTGCGTAGCGCTTATTGTAAGTTCCATCGTGACCGCTTTGCATCAACGGGTATTTTGGGTTTTTTGACCAGGAGTTATTCGCTGCAAAATGGTAGATTTGGCGAGCACCAGGTAATCTGAAATTAAACTCCACGCGTTTCTACGGCCTGCTAAATCATCAAGTACAGGATGGATTCAATCATCTGGCCGGTTATGTTGCTTCTTTCCCAGCCGATTCCTGTTGATCGTATCTACTGTTCAGTGCACACCGTCACTTAGAAATTTCGTGGTTTCCAGCGGACGGGAAGGGGGGAGGTTGCCTGCTTGTCGCTCTTTTCGACAATTTGTGAAAATGTTTGATTCAGTAAATATTATTTCAGGAAGAAGCGCAGTTTTGAATTGTTTTCTCACCACCTACTGGTCTTCGGAAATACACTCCAAAATTGCCACTGATTCGTATTGGTCAAAATTTCGATCTCGAGAGTCCGGCCGAACTGGATGTCGTCATCGCTGATAGCTTTTCATCCCAGTATTCTTTTCTGTTCGGTATATCTAAAATCTCTGTCTGTTACTGAGTAGCTATTCGAGGCTTATTCGGGTCGCGACTTCTGAGTTCGGCTGCGAATTCGAGAAAATTTATTTGCGATCTGCCAGTTTCTGCATGCATTAGTTGTAGTAATTATTTTTCAAATAATTTTGAAAAAAAAAGGAAACCTTTGGGCGGGCAGAGAAGTTGCTGTTCGCGCATCTGTGTGCTTTTGGTATAGCGTAAATGTCACCAGCTTCGTCAACGTCATCGCCGTCGCCATTTTACCGTGGCATATGGCGCCTAACGGAACTTAAGAAGAAGAAGCATAAAAAAGATAGCTTAACAAGTTGTCATTCGAATAGCGATGAAGCAGGAGCAGCAGTAGCAGCAGCAGCGGCCGAAGGCGACAGTTCCCAGAATCGTACGCAGCCAGTAGCCACGGCACAGATTGCTGATGAAGTGCTCGGCTCCTCACAGCCATCAAAGGGGTTAGTTTTCATCTTGGTTTAGTCCCTTTCGCACCGGTAGCCCGGTTGGTCCTGATGACCGAAAGCAGCTGAATAAACAGGACTGAACGGAATGTACAAAATGCAACTGAATTGCAGATTTAATATATGAACTAGGGTAACATGTGTCGGAAGACCGGGGCCTCATCCGCACCATCATTTAATTCTAAGTACCAAACATAAATGAGCCATCAGAAATGATAAATAAACAAACGGTAGAGGTTTTAGACGAAATTGAAATAACTGGTTTTTCTGTTTTCTGCTTACACCGATCGTCTCTCACCGAAGTTAATGCGAGGGATAGATATGTCAAAAATGCTTTTCAAGTGTTTTTATAAACACTTTCAAAATTATAATAACGCCTGGTTGTGCTGGTCTCAGAATATGCATTTGCTTTCTCTTTCCAACGAGTAAAATGATATGAATTATGACAGTTTTAAATTTGTTCTTTGATCCGTCTCCCCTCTGCCCCGTATCCTCCCTCATGAACAGAAGCCGGCCACATCGAGGCCGTCTTGTCCAAAAAATGATGTACTAGTGTTGGAATAGTAAAACTATGACGCAGAGGTATTGCGGCTTAATGAGAGTTTTTTCCAATATTATAAGTATGTTTTAAAAAACTTGACGAGTTTTCTGGATGAATATTTTTTTGCATGTCAGCTTCATGATGCGTTGTTGCATCTTTTTGTGCGAACGCAAAAACGCGTATTTTCAAAACGTTGTCAATGTGTGTGTATACATGTATATGTTCGGATATTTGTTACCCACATTCAACTCGGCAACTGCAGAAGCTAGGAAGCTGAAATTTCACAAGGATATCAGAGTTCACGTGCACTTGGGTTTCACATAGGACACCTGAAAGAATTCATTCAAATTTTTTCAGTGGAAAAGTGTTTTCGGGAGCCAGATAAAATAGTAAGCTCAAATTTCACAAGCTTTTTTTTTTATTCCCTTACGTGAGCTAAAAATTTCAAACAAACTTAGCTTTAACGCATGCTTACATCACATGTACAGAAACATCAAAATCGAGATTTTACTGTCATTGGCAGAATGCCAATTTTGGAATTATGCTTCCTTCTTACTTTACGAGAATGTTTGTTGCCTCTACTTGGGCATGTAGACAAGCTTTGACTTTCGCCTACGTTGCGCTTTTGAACACGTCAAAGATTTGTGCAACGAAAAGCGATTTCGCCAAGCAGTTAGGCTAAGATGTTGAAACTTTATGAGGGTATTCTGGGCCAGTTTGCGGCTGAAATGTTTTAAATTCAGCTTTAAGGCATACTTGGATTTCACTTGCGCGCAACTGACTGTTTCGTTCCGAGCATTGTGCTAACAGCTTGGTAACCAAATTAAGCAGGAAGCACCACTATTTTCCTGCGGATGTTTATTTTCAATGTGGGAGCCACCAAGGTGAGCCTCAGCCTAGGCATGCCTTGCGTTTACATACAGTAGGTATTGGATCTTTATTAGGTGCTATTAATTTTATGATAACTACTCAAAATATACGATCAGTTGCTGTTACTTTGGATCAAATAAGAATGTTTGTTTGAACTTCTTATTTAACTTCTTTATTGTTAGTATTATCTGTTCCTGTATTGGCGGGTTCTTTGTTGTTTTTGTTGTTGGATCGTAATTTTAATCAGATTTACATAGTATCGCAATCACAGGCTTCTCTCTGTAAGATAGAATCATGCAAAAACACATTATCGCACCGGTAAGCCCGGTGCATCACAACCCAGGTTTTGGCAATAATTAGTTGATGAGCAAATCATATGAAAATGCAACAGTAACTGTTCATTTAAAAAAACCGAGTTTGGAATGCACCAGGCTTGCCGGTGCGGTCAAGCGTTTTTGCACCACACTTGAAGTAGTCAGGTCATTGACTGCATGAATGGTTATTGCTTTACACCTACCTTTTGCGCTTACTAGCATAAATCACAATAAATTTTGCATAAAGTAAATGAACAATTTCCGTTTGACGATCGTTCTTTTAAAAGTAACCTGGCTGCTGAGTGGAAAATTTTTCTACCAAAAGTTTTAAGTGCCTCTATGTAAGAACCACGCATACTTCAAGGCTGAATTGAAAATATTTGAGTTGTACCCCTAAAATTCAGCTTTGCTGGTTCCGGAGTTAGTAGTTTTCCCATCAAAATTTTCATACGCTGTTACATGAGTACCACGCAGTCTTTGGCTGAAACATGCACAGGGAATATCCCTGCAAAGTTTCAGCCCCTTAATTTGTCTGGTTCCCAAGATCGCTTTCCCGCTAAAAAATATGTATGTTTTTTTAGGACTTCCGTACGCGGCATCCAAACTTAAACGGACGAATTAAAACGGGTGGGTCGCCCATGGTGTGGGCACATGCTGCCAGAGTTCCAGCTTTCGATCTTTTGTGGTTCTCGAGTTGAAAGTGGGTGACAAAAAGTGCGGACACACACACACACACACGCACGCACGCACACACACAGCCTTTTGCCAACATGCGTTTTTGCATTTGCATATATGCAAAAACGCATAAAAAAGGGAAGTGTGGGAGAGGGAAGTTCTGTTAGGTAAAGGAAGAAATGGGGAGGTGAGGATGCAGCTTCTGTTCTGACTAATCTTTTTATTCTGTTATTATTCTTTCCATCTAAATTCTCATAACAGCCTAGTCTGACTTATAAATGGTGTTGCAGTGGTTG